GAATGTATTGGTAATTTGATTCGGGGCACCTTACCACTATCAGCTGCAGAAACAAGACGTTTACGATCAAAGTCAACCTTACTTAGACGTCTGGGCACTCCCAAAACATCTTGGAAAGGTGAGGTAATGAAAGGCACGAACGTAGTGGATATCGTCAATGATTTCATTCGTAACCGCAAGACAAATATTACCCCTTTTGGTTGGGAAGCCGTCATGAGAAGTTTGAGAGAATCAAATATACCTCGAGAAGCCATTGGAAACGATCGTCGATGGGAATTGTTTTCGACACCTCAAACACAATCATCTCCGTCCACTTTTGAAACGCCCAAGAAACGCACAAGTAAAAAGCAACAGAGGAAAGAAAGAAAATGGCTATCTTTTGACAGCCTATAAAAGAAGCTCACAAACATTAACGGGTCAAAGATGAAGAAGCTAGCACAAGTCTATTATGATCCGGCGCATCCCGCAGGATTTAGTGGCGCTCAGAAACTGGCCAAGGCTACTGGAGTGCCATTAGAGAAAGTCAAAACCTGGTTAGCGGGTCAACAGACTTATACTTTACACAAACCTCTCAAGAAAAAATTCAAACGAACACCTACGTTAGTAGCAGGTATCGATTACCAGTGGCAAGCCGATTTGAGTGATTTGAATAGCCTCGCCAAGAAAAACAATGGTTATCGCTTTTTGTTGTGTGTGATTGATGTGTTTTCCAAATATGCTTGGGTCATACCCATCAAAGACAAGAAAGGTGAAACGTTGGTTCGGGCTTTCCAAAAAATTAAGGACAAAACACCTTTAAGATTGCAAACAGATAAAGGTACAGAATTTTTAAACAGAAAATTTCAAACTTATCTCAAGAAGAAAAAAATTCACTTTTTCGTGACACACAATGCCGAAACCAAAGCCAGTGTGGTGGAGAGATTTCAACGTACCTTAAATCAACGAATGCGGCCATATTTCACGTACAAGAAAACGGAACGTTACATTGATGTTTTGGACAAGTTGGTAGAAGGTTACAATGCAGCCGTGCATCGCACTATTGGAATGGCACCTAAAGATGTCACTGTTCAAAACGAATGGTTGGTTAGTCAACGATTGCCTCGGGAAACATCCAAGAAAAAACGCGACGTTACATCAACGGTACGGTTAGCCCTCGACAAACAGAAAGCTTTTGATAAGGAATACTTATCCCATGGCATACGTAGTTAACACCGATGACGAAGACCAGCCTGGAAAAGATTGGACCGTGTTTGTGTGCGAAGAAAACCATTGTGATTTATTTGATTCGTATGGATGTCCCCCAGAACTGTATGGAAAAGATTTTGCCGACTTTGCTCAACGTCAAGGACCGGTACGACACAACTCCCAATGGATTCAAGGACTCCAAAGTGTTGTGTGTGGTTATTATTGCCTGTTTTACCTGTGTCATAGATTCTACGTACCCACACCAAAAGTCTTTAGTTTATTATGTTATTATTGTTCATTGTTAATTGATTATAGTTGAATAAAGTTTAAAAAAAAAACCACGTGATCTTTTTTATCCAATCCAAATTCCTTTCCCGTTGGCAGCCTATAAAATCGCAGCCATTTGTCTTTGGCCATTCATTTGCACCATGGCAGCCCAACCTATGATTGTTGTGAAACTTATGGAAGTAGATGACAGTCCTGTTAAAATATTTACCCGCAATGGTAAAACTGTCATCATCACAACCGATGACATCTACCTTTTGGAAGAGTCGGCGGTGAACGAGACGCCTCGAAGGCGGAGAATCACTCCCGAGCTGTTAGCCAGCATCCGTCAGAGGCTCCGTCACAGAGTTCGTCGAAGACTCTTCTAAAGGAGTGTTTGAAAAAACCGGCCCTTTTCAGGGCTACCTAATCAAAATAAAAGAGTTCCCTTTTCCTTGGGTTTTTCCCTTGAGATTTTCCCTTGAGATTTCCTCTTGAGATTTCCTCTTGGGATATCCCCTTGGGATTTCCCATGACGTCATCGTCAAAATGGGATTCCCGTGGGGTTTCTCCTTGGCATTTCCCATGACGTCATCGTCAAACTGGGATTCCCGTGGGGTTTCCCCAATGACGTCATCCCCCTAGCAACCAAAGTCACGCATGCGCATCCTAAAACCGGATATGACGTCATTCCTAGCAACCACTATGACGTCATCCGTTGCCTAGCAACCAAATTACCTGTACCTACGCCCCTACTCCTATGATGTTAAAGTTATCAATCCTCCAACAATTTATAATGCTAGAGGTTAATATAAATTTTAGATTTTGTTACATAATGTCATTGTTGCTTTTTCCTGTTTCACATTCAACTCCTTTGAGCCATAGGAATTATTTAAATAATAGTTATTAAAATCTTAAAATCAAGTTATAATTTTACGCATCGTCCCTTTAAATTATTGTTATACTGGCTGTAGTCTATTGATAAAATAGATATGAGATGTTTTAAATATGTTGATTGAATTTAAAATAAAATGTAATGTTACAGTTATAAAATTACTTTTAAATTCATATGGAATCAGGTCGTCTTTTCCTTAATTTTTCACATGCGTACGTCCGTCACTAAATTTTGTACATCCGTCACATAGTGTTTACCTATACCACAAATTTTCTTTTCAGAATATTTGAATCAAAACAACTAACTGTGTACATATAACATACTAGAATAAATTTAATAATCTTTCATTCACCAAATATCTTTTATATATATATTTTTGTTAGATTTTTAACACAATTTTAATGTGAATTTAATACAAGACTCTTCAGTTATTTTTTAAAAACATATCTGAGGGCTAATGAAAACCCATAACGGGTTTAAAATAAACTTTACTACTAAAATAAGAGTAAGGGTTTAAGTTACCCCAACCATTGTACAACTTTGGCCCACCAACAACTAAAAAACAAATGTATAAGTTTTCAGTGTACTATGTTCTCCTCTGGTATGCAAACATCTCAAATACTGACACATGTTTTAAGTGCTTAACATTGATTCTATCTCAATTAGTGTTGGTGATACATGCGTTCAAAGATGAAAAGTGGGCCAAAGCAACCCCATTTTACGTGACGGGCTTTACATCAAAATAAATCTTTAAGTAGTTCAAATGTGTCCAAAGTAACCACTGTTTACGGTATTAAAATCTTACTGTACATTGTATTCCATAATCATGTACGTTTTTCATTTTAAGTTTGATTATTTCAATATTTGTCGCCTTCATCAGGACAGATCATGCCGACGGTGAAGTCAAGAATTTGTCAAAATATCAAGCTAAATTTTTATAAACGCGAGCCGATCTTTGAAAAGACGCATTTTTTCAACAACAACAAAAATCAAACTTTGAGGTAATTTTCCACCAAATATAAATATATACTATTCAAGATGGCGTCAGATTACTGTTGGAAATTTTCGATTTGTTGCCTCCCTTGACGTATATTTCTAAATCCCTGACCTACATTCAGAATTTTACAAATTAACAATTAAAGAACATTTTCCAACACATCTTTATATTTTTAAGAGGTCGATAGAACGCATCATTTGGAATATGAATGAAAAACCTCATAGATTTAGCAGAAATTGTGATGTTAAGCTAAATAAGTGAATTTTTAGAGGAGTTACCTCCCTTAGTACAAAGGCAGTTAAATTGGGACGAAATTGATACTAACTATTACCTATTATTCATCAACAATACCACCATAAGAGACACAAAGGGGTTACAACAATATTTGTCTCCTTTTGAAAACTACCACACAGTCATCAGATTTGTAGGATGCAGCTAGTCAATTCTACAGGTACACGTGTCCTATTAGCAGCATGGCGTATAATTTAATATGTCACTCAAAGTACGCTATAGTTTTAGTAGGTTACGGTGGCCTATTAAACACGTGTCCCGTTAGCAGCGTAGCATATACAGCCCAACATCTTACTGTCAATGGCGGCCAATTTCAATAGAATAAGGAATTCGACTCCATGCAGAAACACGGGGCGTAATCTCTTAAACTTGTCATTAACAATTGGTTCCTAAAATTTCTTGATAACCTACACACATTGATATCAGATTACATACAGTTGAAAAGTTGTATTTTGAACTAATTTTCAATTTAGTTTTCTGTTCTACTCTTGTTTAAAGCTATAAATAGCATGGTCATACTTTTCAGCAATAAAATCACAGAATCTGCCAGTTTTTAAATAATTGGTTAATGTATTCAGAGTAGCCAATTGAAAACTAGTATTCCAAATCTTAATTTGTAGTTTTAAGTATTTGTAGCACAAGTGGTTATGATTGTCTATGGTTTTAAAACAGGGATTGTTGAGGTCTTGTTTAATAACATTGTAGGCATGACAGTTGCACAAAGTAAATTTTTGAACTGGCTGATCACAAGTAGTTTACATATTGGAGGATCGTGTTTCGACGAGAC